CCATAGTCTAGTTGGTAAAAGAGTGCATGAAGTTGATCTATGTTTTATCAAGTGACCAAGTGAGAGAGGCAGTTTGTTGCAAATGGCCACCTAGTATAGCCAACTGGCTAGTTCTGGTAATAAGTTTTACATGTACCAAGTGGTAAGCAGCTAAGCTGTTTGTGTAGCCAAGAGGCATCACCTCGAGTAAATAAACAGACGTTAGGAATTTCTCTTTGTGTACTAAATTGTAGCAGTTGACAAGTTACAAAATCAATTCTGTATATATTGATTACCCTACACACTAGACAAGTGTCTATTGTAGTTGTATAGTTTGCTTTCATTGTCGTCCTTGTTAGTCTTAGAGAAACAAAGTACGATCTCAATGAGATGTCTAGGGTTTCGGACGTTTTTAGTACTTTTGTTACAGGTGCCCCAAAAACATGCTTCAAAAACATATCAGCAGAGCCTCAGATAGGCAGCTAGGTTCCAAGCTGCCGGCTTAAACTACCTATGCAGAGTTGAAAATCGTCTATGTGTATCTATTTTTCCTTCATTCAAGGACATCATTAAAATCTCAATGATCCACATGAACACCAGCTGGTGTGTCTGAAATATCAATCATCCAATGGAAATGTGGATAAGAAAAGAATAACCTGAAAAAAAAATATGGTTTTGATGTTGTAATGATAAATAATACATTTAAAGGTAGAATTATGCTTTTCAATGATCGTCTGTACATAACGCCCTATTGTTAATTTTCGTTATACACTAATCCATTTTCATCTATAGTTATTTTTTTCTCTTTCGGATAAAAATGAAGGGAAGAATATAACAACGTAGTTCTTTGTAGATAACTGGAAACCTTACCGGCTCAGGCAATACAGATTAGAAGTGTCAAATTCCACTGGTTCACAAGAATGGATCCAGTGTTTCAAAGACAACACACTCTTTCCAGCTGTGCCTTCAAGCATACAGAATATTTCATGCGAAAAAACAGCAAGATATATAAGCATATCAACAACGTACGATGCTCCTAAAGATGACCCAATCGCTGGTCCTATACTTGAATTATGTGAAATTCAAGTATACGGTAAGAAGAGAATCCTTCATTGGCTGACTTTCATCATGTATTTTCGTCCATATTTTAGTTTTGAATCATCGACTATCAGTCTTTTTTTTTTTTTTTTTACTGCTGGTGGACTGTTAGTCCCCGAGGGTCTCTACAGCCCAGTAACCTAGTACTTCGGTACTAGCTTAATAATACGGATATATATTTAAATCCTGTGGTAATATTTAGAAATTTATTTCAAAAATAAGGATTATCTCCCTCATGCATAGCTCTAATCCTTCGAGGTATTTGGCTCCATCTTTTGGCATCTTTTTCAGCTCTTTCAAATCTTTTTTTATTTAAATATTTTGGATTTCCAACGTTTTGGCTTGAGCATCACTGAAGAGACATAATTTGTCGAAATGCGCATCTAGTGCATCAAAATTGGTACCGTATATGATTTACATTTAAAAAATCAACTTCATCCAATTTTGGTTTAAATCGTCTATGATTAAAAAGAAACAACGACCCTGATTTTATTGTTGCTGTCTTACTTTTGTTGGAACGTTTTCCTAAAATGTTTTCTAAATCCATCAAAATATAAATTTATGCAATTTTAAAAACCTTTTCTCTGGTAATGGAAAAAAGAGAAAACTTTTTGCATGGTTATAATAACAAAAGAGTTCTAGCTATAGAATTTATCATGCCTGACACTAAAAGTAGATTTATAATTATTTTAGAGAAATCAATTAATTGACTTAGAATCTGCTTTTCCTTTCTTCTTTGATATTGCAAGAGATCTGTGAAGATTTTCACGCATAATTTAATGTGGAAGGAGATGAGAAGATAACAAAAATTATAAATAATCATAATAATCTAAAGGTATGCAATAGTTAGTCTTACCAGAGTTATGAATGAGCGAAATATCATAAATTCATTCAAAACCATATTATACTTCAAAATTTCTTGATGATTATCAATGATATTTGACCTAAAAATATAAGATTTGCATCCATTTTTTTAATTGTTAAAACTGAGATATTTCTATCTCTTTATAATTAATTTAGTAAACACTATGAAGAATACAGTAATTAAGCATTTACCAGAATATAAGTACATTTTCTCCGTAAAACATCGATGACAGATAACTCTTGCTGAAAAATGATCACAGATAAGAATTCTTTATTCTAGCTTAAATATAAATATGTTACATATTCAAGTATGACACTTATTATTATTTCCACTATCAATATATACCTTTTATGCTGAGATAAATACTATTATTGCTCCATGAATTCTCTTTATCAAATGATATTTATATCATTTTTTAATCATAAGAACAAAATAACACTTCATGTTTCATAGTCCTATTTTCCATTTGACAATTATCATGTTATTGTTAACGAAAATAGAAAAAAAATGGGCATATAGCACGAGTGCAAGGGAACCTACCATTGCCCCCAACTGGAAATTGAATACTCGTCCTGCAGAACATATCACCATTAATGCAGGAACAGCGTGCTAGACCGCTTGATCAACTAGGGAAGTTAAAAATAAATGCGTTTTTAATGGCATTGATATGTATACGCGGCGCTTCTCTACACTGACAACAGTTTGAAGAAATCCTTATATACTATCGGAAAAGGTGTACTGGAAGTTTTTTTTTTTTTTTTTTTTTTTTTTTTTTTTTTTTTTTTTTTTATAGATTCATACACAAAATATAAAAGTATCATGATGCATTATGTATATCATTATTTAATATAATTCATTGTCTGTCAACTCAAACATCTAATTATGGATTAGGTTCCTTAAAGTTGATATGAATAGCCGCAAATAAAGTAAGGTAATGCCAAAAAGTTTCAAAGTTTTGATAGCGTGTATTAATGTGTGACCGCCATTTGCACCGATGCAATTTAACACCCGCGATGCATTGAAATGCCTAGAGATAGTTCCGCGAAGCATCTAACGTACAGGAGGTGTTGGCGAAGACGTCGTTCCATTTCATCCTAAACATGTTCTATAGACGATAAATCTGTTGTCATCGCAGGCCAGTGTGGTTGTTGTAGATACTCATTAACAACACGCACGACCGTCCCTTGTCCTGCTGCAGATTGACGTTACGCTGGATTGTATGAATGAATGCAATGGCGTGCTGATGTACACTCTCGTCGGTTAAATTTCCCTCGAGTATCACTAAAGGGGCCTTCCATATGTTCCCAGACCATAACGCTCCCTTAACTGGATTGGGGAGGGAGGGAGGGGGGGGGGGGCTGAATATAACGCGAACACGAATGTAATCTTCTCCGAGATGGTAAGCCAATGATGGTAAACTGTCACTGCAAAAACGTACTTATTTTTTTTTTTTAAATAAATTGCTTACAACATTCAGAATAATATACTTCTTAAAATCTAGTTTAGGTGCTAAATCTATCAATCAAAGTAAACTAGTTTGTCATACTGAACATTAGTGAAATGGTATCATTGTTCGAAATGTACTTTGCGTTGCCTTGAGTCAAATATATATAGCATATGAAGATAATATTATAGTATTTTGTAAGGTTTCTTTTTATTCATGTGTTCCTATATACAATTACATAACTCATAAACATTTATATACATAACTTTTATATACATTTATAAAGATTGATTGATTGTATGTTGTTTTACGTCCCATTCGAGAATTTTTAACTCATATAGAGACGTCACCATATACCGGTGAAGGGCTTCAAATTTTGACGTTTACTCGGCACTCAGGGCCATTGAACAGTGAGGGATCTTTATCGTGCCAACGCCTGCCGTCACACGGGACCTCGGTTTTTAAGGTCTCATCCGAAGGACCCTCAACTTTCACTTCAAAGTACCGAGCGCATGGCGAAGGAACAGTTGCTACCCAATTTTTATCGACTTAGGTTTGTCGCGGCCGAGATTCGAACTCACGACCCCCCGATCACGAAGCTAGCGCTCTACCGACTGAGCTACAGTGAACGGTCATTTATAAAGAAAACACTGCAAAATTCACATCATATGATTTACTATGCTATGCTATACACTATAACTCACGTTATACACTATGCTTATGCTATACACTATAACGCACGTTAAGGGTTATCGTTCTTTAAATGTGTACAATGAACATTAAAATTTAGGAATTTAGTTCGTATTTCATATAGTTCAGAGGAGTATTATGAACAAAGCTTATGTTTATTTTTTTATGTAAAAGGCGAAGAAACGAATAGTAATCGATCTCAAAAAATCTCACAACAATAAAAAATATATGAAGAGGGCATAAAACACAGACCCTTGAAATTCCAGAGGTTGGATCAGGTGCAAAGAAAGAGTAAGCATCCCCTGTTGCCCGTACCACCCGCCCTTAGTCTTATGTATTGTTCAGGTATACGGAACTTTCCGTAGTCAATTCAATGTAAAGGCAATAGGCCTTATAATTGGTATGAAACAAGACAACCAAAATGCAACCTAACGATAGATTATATTTGCTTACAAAAATCATTTTAAGGACCATAGAATTAACGAAATTCCGCATTTATTCGAGGTTGTTGAAATCCCTGTAACATTAACTCAGTAATCTCTTATTTTTTTAATGATATTAAATAATCAAAACACTGAAAGGGGTTGATGATCTATGAATTCCGTGGAAGTACAGCGTAATAAAACACAAGTTTCTGTTTGAAAATGTAACATATTGACGTAAAACGCTATTCAATAAATTAATTCGGTTATATCAAGACCTTCATTTTCTATAACTCAAAGCTTTGTTCGCTAAAGTTTTGCTAATTCAAATCTCAATTACATACTATAATACAAGTCAGATGTGATGCATTTTCATTCAGCGGTCACATGCAGCCCTAATTGTGTAGACATGCAGTGCGATGAAAAGGAAAACTGCGTCCGTGGTTGTAATTCGGGATTCTGGGGAAATAAATGTCAGAACAACTGTTCATCGACCTGCTCACTGGAATTCTGCAATATGACAAGTGGATTATGCAATTCATGCACATCTGGTCCATTCTGCAACATGTTATGTAGTGAAAACTGTGCAAATGCCAACTGTAATCAATATGGTACTTGTATTGGAGGATGTAAACCGAACTGGAGAGGAAATGAATGCAATGGTAAGTTTGTTATTCTCTAATTATAGGATTATTTGCTTTTTTTAAACACAGAATGATATAAAGGGTAGGGTGTTGTCGGTAAATGAAACAAAGGCTATCAAAAAAGACATTTTCATATTTTGGAGTACAAATCAAAGTACATAAACAGCATTATGATAAACTCATTTATAATGAAATTTCAATACAAATTTGTGAATAAGTATGAATATGCATATTTAGGGCAAGATCACACCTTTGTTTGAACGCCTTTGGATTTTGAACGCAGTTAAGGAATGTCTAATGTAAGACATCCTACAATTATTAATGTTACTATAACATGACTCGACACTGCAGGTATTTAATTTAATTTCAATTGTGAAACAACATACGGATTTTTACTCTTTGTAGAATGTGATTCCAATCATTACGGGTCTAATTGCTCCAATAAGTGTAGTGTCAATTGTAAAAGAAAGATATGTGACAATGTCACCGGATCCTGCACTTTCGGCTGTAAGAGGGGTTTTTATTTGCAGAACTGTGAGAAGAAATGCAGTACATCATGCCTATCAGCCTGCAATATAACCTCAGGAGAATGTGAGGGTGAATGCCCAGTTGACAAATATGGAAGTCAATGTGATAAAACCTGCGACAAAAATTGTAAAAATGGATGCAGTAGAATCAGTGGTTTATGCAATTCAGGATGTATTGACGGAAAATTTGGAATTGATTGCCTCAAGAACTGTAGTTTTGGTTGCATTTCTGGTTGTCATCAAGCTAATGGAAAATGTATCTGTAAAACAGGATGGCAGGGTCAGAACTGTGATGGTAGGCCACTAAAAGATTGCAGTTAAAAATGACATTTTTTGGTACACAATCCTCCCTGAAGAGTCTAATAATAATTTTACGCTTGAAATCATTAATTATTAAATAAGCATAATAAATTATCAGAGTAAAGTAAGATTTGATCACATTTTGGAACCGGATATATAATTAAAGTTACAAAACTCACACTTCAGGAATGGGGTTGCTTTTCTCTTCCACGACAACGGTATTGTATTGTAGCATTGCTTAGATACTTATATATCACTAAGCATACACATTACTATAAGGGCTAGGATTCAGAGAAGCCCAAGTTCTATTGATAGTACTGTTACAGTAGATTTTTAAATATACACGAGGAATTTAATATAGTGTTATTTTGCGAAAAGCAAATTTACTCACTTTCATATTAAAAATACTAAAATACATGTAAGAACTTTTATGAAAAGTCCACTTGCGAATTCCTGTTCATGCGATTTGGCGGTTTGACGTCTACGAGTCATCTGGCGATATCAATTACTCTAAGACTCGTAATATTTGAAACATACAGACTCATATTTTTAGCATTATTTACGTAAATTTATGTAAATAACGAAATATGTAAAGAATTAAAAATCTGCTTTTGTATAAATCTAGGCTAAACATATATCAAATAATAGAACCCTAATTTATGATGATTTATATTTTCAGGTCACCTGAGTACCTCAGGTGACCTATACCTATCTGATTTTGTACATTGTCGTTCGTCCTGCTTTAACATTGGAATTTTTTTCAGTTTCTTCTCTGGAACCGCTGAACCGATTTCAACCAATTTTTGCATAAATCATTTATGGGCGGAGGGCAACATACATTGATGAATTTCATGGTCCAGGCCCTCTTTGCCTATGTTGAAGTAAAAACTCCCAAAAAAATGCACTCTTTATTCCTGGGCGTCAAACGGTTTAACTGTTGGCATTATTGTATTACATTGTAAGCAACGAGAGTTGGAGGGTTATTCATGGCCTCTGAATCAGGGGTTCTAGCTAGTGTTTAGGCGGGACTCAATCGATTATATGCATCTTTTAATTTATTTGGGTATTAAGGAAATGTACTCAGTGCATAGAAATAATGAGCAAAGATGCCTCTTCCAATTGTTTAATTAACCCTGGGTCAGGAAATCTGGTGCTAGGGTGAAATTTCTTTTGATAATATAGTCAAAATGCATTTCTTCCTTGAAATTTTCTTCCCTGCTCTTAGGTTTTATAAGCACACAAAATAAGTACATGGTTACGATATAGAGCACAACGAGTACTTTCATTGTTTTAATGGCTTGAGAGACTTGTAAATAACAGATAAAAAAAAATAAGACAAAAATACCTTATCTTTGTACATAATACATTCTTCAAAGACCTAGAGACTTTTGAAGGAGGGTGTGTGAAAGTTTTACTACATTTTATCTAGTAATATTGTATGATTTTGTCTGCATATTGATAGTGACAAATAGGAGTGTATAATTAGATCTTATTTTTGATTACATGTAATCTGAGTACTACTGTAACACTTGACTATTTTGTTAATCAATGATGGCTAGAGCGTTGACTCTAGAATCGCGGAGTAAGGAGTTGATCCTTACGCCGCGGGTTCGAATCCCACCGTTGGACGATGAGACCGGTCCTTCGGATAAGACCGTATAAACTGAGGCCCCGTGTTGCAGTAGGTGTTGGCACGAAAAAGATCCCTCACTGCTCAATGGCCCTAAGTGTCGAGTATAGGACAACATTTACAGCTCTCCACCGGCAAGTGGCGGTGTCTCCACATGAGTGAAAAAATTTTCGAGAGGGACGTTAAACAATAAACAAACAAACAAACAAACAAACATGATCATCTTATTTTCTTTGCTTTGTGACAACATCTCACCATCTCTCAAATATTTTGTTTTATTCCAATCTTTGGTGGATTCTTAAAAGTGTTGTGTTATACTCAGGTGACCGGTAAGGTCATTGGAACTCTTTTTCTTCACTTGACATTTCGTTGAATGGTTTTCAACTAGATAATTTTTTTAGTTCTATTTGAAATGTGAAAATAACGAACAGTAATCATGTTCCAAAGTCCATTTAAACAATTCAGATTGTGAGCAAAGCAAACACAGATCTCTGAAAAAAGGAGGGATCATGTGTAATGTAAGTAATGTAAGATTAAGTAACCCCTGGTTACTGGTTACACAAGCGGCATGCTCCTTATCATGCTCGGATAAAAGGAAAATCCGTGTACAATTCAATGTGAAAATGAATTAAATTTTCCATTATATATATATATATATATATATATATATATATATATATATATATATATATATATATATATATATATATATATATATATATACGAGGGGTGATCAAAAAGTTCGCGAACTATCTCTACATTTAAAAAAACTTAATTCAGATCAGAATGGAATTTGTAAAGGCTGTAAAGTTTAACGTATATTTCGGAAATTCCTCTGCAGTGGAATATGATAATTTGTACAAGGTTTATGAAGACAAAAGACTTACCAGAAGTTCAATCATTAATTGGATTAAATGTTTTAATGTAAGCAGGGAGATGGTTAAAAATGATGTTTGTTCTGTTGACCAGTGAAAGCAAGCCGGTAAAAAGATGTGTCGTTAGTTGAGCAATTTGGTTTGAAAGATCTCCACGTTAAAATAAGAAAAATGGTTGAATATCTTAGCAATAATGTAATTATTAAATCACTAAAATGTCTTTTACTTTAGACTTTAAACATATGAGATATGAAAAAAAGAAGGCGTCCATACTTCTTCCACATTGGATAATCGACGCTCCCGAGACAGAGGACTCGGGTTGTGAGGGTCACCATGCTAATTCTGGGAAGGGATATCCTTATCCACCCATCCTATTGCCGAGATTTGGCCATTTCTGACAGATGGTCTGTTCTTGTTATAAAAAATTACCTGCATGGTAAGAAATATAAGACTCGGAAACATCTCTTAGCCTCTAACGTAAGCATGTAACGTGACCGCCTGGATCACGTGATTCGCGCATGGACGGAACAATTGCAGATGTGCATTAAAATTAGAGAGGACTACTTTGAAAAATAATGAACACTGAAACCTCATTTTATTTCTTTTAAGGAAGTTATTCAATTAGTTCGCGAACTTTTTGATCACCCGTTTTATATATATATATATATATATATATATATATATATATATATATATATATATATATATATATATATATATATATATATATATATATATATATATATATATATATACATGTATATATATATATATATATATATATATATATATATATATATATATATATATATATATATTGAATAGTCAATTTACAAAATTTTTTATACATGTAGAATGCAACCAAAATCGTTACGGACCAGGATGTGATCAACATTGCAGTCCAATTTGTTTAAATGGAACCTGTTTTTCAAGCAATGGCTCGTGTAAAGAGGGTTGTAATATCAACTTTAATTATGGCAAAGGTATGAAAGGAAAAAATTGGCCTTTCTTTAAATGAAGTCTAACAATATATATTATTTGATTTCAATTTAAAAAAAAAAAGCCCTTAACCAATATATATTGACGTCTCATATGAGTGAAAAATTAATGCTAAAGACCTACAATTACAATCATTCTATCAATCTTTAGTAAATTTTACATATTCAAAGAAAAAAAAACCCAAACAAAACAAAATCAAAAGTTGAAACAAACAAACAAAAACATTTTGATTAAGATCATTCTCACATAAAATGCAGATTTTCTCAGAGTGTGAAAATGTATCGAAAAAAATATAATTGATTGCAAATTTATATCAAATTTTGTTTTCCTCATATGATATCATCAGCACATGCTTAATGTTGCACAATTGAGACCCTTTTGGATTTCTCTCTATTTTTGTTCCTTCAAAAGTCCTGTATTAAATTGAATGCAATGGAAAACGGACCCCCGGAAATGTCAGAGATGGGATTAAATTCCATGGCGGGGTTATAATGCTGTTCCGACGTCTTACAAACCATGAACCTTTTCTTGATAGTGTTAACGGAGCATTCGTAGAAAAAAAATGGAATGCTATTCTTTTCCCTTGTAGGGGAGCATTTTTGGTTGACAGAATAAACTAATATTAGTTCACTATTAATCAAACGAGTATAAATCCGATTTAAATTGTTGTCATGGATCTTTTATTTTTTTTTTTATTGAAGTAATCCAGCGATCGTCAGAAAACGAATCAAACGGCGAGGATTATTCAGCTCAGTATGTTGTGGTTCCGATTCTCTTTATAAGTATTTTTCTCAACATATTCCTTATTGTTCGGTAAGTTTTTTATATTGATTTCATTATTTAAAATCTTGCAACACGTTCCTCCTATCTTTTTTTTTTATTTCTATTTAATATACCTACTGTAAAAAATATAACAATTACACGTTTTATTATCTTCTGATTTCTAAGCTGTTTAAAAAAAAAAATACAAAAAAAAAGAAAAAGAAAAAGAAAAAAAAACATAAACAAAAAAATTGCTATAGCAGCAATTCCGGGGATGTTCAATTGGATTTTATAGGAAAATACCAGCCTTTGTCATATTGCACAAACGACTGGTTATGTGCCTCTTTTTTAGTGGGAACACTTACAGAAGTAGCAATAATTAAATCATCTAAAAAAAATGATAAATTATTCAGGAAAATGTTTTCTGACCTTAAAAATGATATCTGGTTTGAAACAATAGAGCGTTAGAAATAGAATTTTTGACAAATAATAAGATTTTTTCCCCTTTTTATGTCAAGCTGCCATCTTTTAATTGTATATTTACGTAACAGGAATATTAGACATATTCATTATGAAAGGAAGAATTCTGAGATAATAATAAGCCAACAGAGTTCCACATTTGACGAAAACACATCCACTTATAATAGACTTGAAGATATCCCAGATTATCAAGAACTTGGACAATTAAGGCAACCTTCCAAGTATGATGAACTCAAGTGAATGTAGTTGATCTACCTGTTATTAGTAATTACCTCTGAACTATGTTATTTGTCTTAGAAATTGCGCCTGTCATTTGGTAAACAGAAGAGCAACGATGAAATGCGTGTAAAATATTTCTCTTGACTTCCTGTTTAATTGAATTAGAACTTGCCAAGTCAGAACTGAATGTTGAACTTTCTTGAAATCAATGACAATCTGTTGGCCAGGTTTTGGTATTCAAAGGAGATAAATATACAAAAATACTTTTTCTAATATAATAAGTTTTTGCTTTCATTATCTATTTAATAATTTTATGTGCTGCTAAGATGACATTAGCTTTACATATATACAGAGATAGAGAGAGAGAAAGAGAGAGAGAGAGAGAGATCTTTTGCTATAATATATACAAGTGTAATGCACTATAATTGTTTTATATTTTCGTTCATCTGTCTTTAATCTATTCAATTAATATAGATGGACTTGCAGATCCAAGCAAATAAAACAAATAAATGCCCTTTACTCTATTTTTCAAATGTGTTCTACATCTATTCAAACTAGACTGTTCCAAGGAACGCATGTGTCGCATGCTTTGTAGCTTAATTAAAGATGTAAATAAATCTAAGAGTTGTCAGCTTTTTATTTACTATAAGCATGATTGACTGAAAGTTCATGCATTTGCCTGCAAGGAAAAAAAATGGCATCCATGGATAGTATGACTGCGATAGAATCTAACAATCAAAGAAAATATGGTTTCTTAACCCTCAAATGATTAATTAAATTATAAGGAATAACTATTTGTCATTTTGTTAAAATCCTCCAATAGAGATTTCAGTCTGTCAAAACTACAATTTTCAGTCTACACGATCCATTGTTGAATATTGATAAATATAAGTTTGTGTGGTACCTGAATATCATACAGTTTCAAAGTACTTTTTAATGAGCTAGACATGTTTCCAATGATCATTCAAAAGAGATTTAAAGTCTGCCTTTACTGAAATTCTCAGTCTACACGATCCATTTTGAAATACTGATCCCGATGTATTTTCATAGTATTAAAAAATATAAGTCTGTCTGGTAGTTGAATATCATATGGTTTCAAATTACACTACCATGAGCTCATAAACATGCATAAATGCAAATTATTTAAACCCTGCCTCTCAAAATTCAAAAGTCATAAGTAAAATGAAATTGCCCGAGATATATTTTGCAAAGTAGGTCAAAGGTCAAGTGGATTGTTATTGCTGGTATTTTTTCATCTTTTCTTATGACAAACGGTGCACATGCTAATTAGCATAGACTTACCAAAATATGCTGTATATCGGCACTTTAAGCTATTTTTAAAAATATGTTAAAGGTCAAGGTCAAAGGTCACGAGGTAGGTAAGCATTGTAATTTACAAAAGCCATAGTGCCAAGCAATATATGTGAAAAATATCAAATCCATACCTCTTAGAGTTCTAGAGATATGGGGTGTGACAGACAGAGAGACGGCCAGACAAACAGCTACACAGACGCCTGGTTAAGTGATCCTTTATAGCCGCTCTGCTCTGCAGGCGAACAAATATACTGTATTCTTAGAACAATTTTTGGTGATGACACAGATGGGCATAGCTTTGTTAATGTGTTGACGCGTCGGTTGACATAAGTTTTCCCTGGAGTGTCAATTTCAACTGTTACCCTAATTAAAAAAACATGCACTATTTATTTTATTATACTGAATGTCTTATTGATTAAGGATGTCTGAAAAAAAAATCGGAGATCGTCGTTGAGGTCACGTTTATAAAGCTTTCAAACTCCCTACTTCTGTTTAATCTCAATAAGGAAGGCCTATAGCAACTTTATCAAATTCAAACAAGAAAAAAAATAACTGCTAAAACTCGGGAGGGGTGAAAATTTATCTCTCAATTGCCGGAATTATTTTAATGCAATAACATGACACACTTTCCACACTACTGCAATAAAGTGTGTGTGTGTGTGTGTGTGTGTAGTAAGGGGACAGCATTATGATATACATAAGAATCTACAACAGAAAGTTTTCTTAATCAGCGCGACGGAAGGACAGGCGGAAGGACAGATGGAAGGAAGGACGGAAGACGGACATGACAAACTCTATCTGCCCCGACCATATTCATGGCAGGGTATAATAAAAAAAAAAAAACGAAACTACGAAATTGACCCTCGTACACTGATATTAATATTTAATAATAGATTATTTCTCAGCAACGTGATTAGGAATTAAATTGTAAGATTCGGAAGAAGGAAGTTAATACTGTTCTACATAGTGACGTTTTCAAAAGAGCCATACAGCTGACTGTACATTACTACTTTAATCTGATAACTGTCCCCAGTTTCCTCAAACACTTAAAACGAATTTCATATCACTTAAAATGCCTTGTATTCGATAAAGTTACTACTTTTAAACCACAAGAGTCATTCCTGTAAACATAAAAAAAGCTAAAAATAAGGAAGACTTTGTAAAATCTTGTTATATCATCAGATAAACGTTTTCCCGCTGGATTTAACTTGCTTTCACAAGGATCTGTTTCCTGTTTTTTAAAAATGATAATGATATCTTGGATGTTGAAAAATTATAGTCTACAGTTATAATAGAATGGTTCTTTACATATATTTGCATTGTATAACATTGTTGTGCTATTCACTAAAGATCATTTTAAAATCATGTTTATTACAATTGTATGGGTTAAAATCGAAAATATTAAAGTATCTAATGTAGGTTTTATAGCAACTTTAAAGCAACTTTATAAAAATCATAAAGATTAAACGGTATTTAAGGATTCTTTCTGTATTTAACAAGAACATACACTCTTGGTAAGGTGACTATGTTTTTTTTTTCTTTTTATCACATCCTATTCATGCTAACTATGGTTTCTTCATTAAGTAAGGAGTGACTTTTCTTATATATTTATGCACTTAATTTATGCATTGTTTTGAAGGCATTATAAATTTACGAAACCAGAACACAATTTAGTAAACGAAGTAGTCCTTAAAGTATATTTACAGACGACAGTAATATACAGATAGAAAAACTTCATTAAATATATAATCTTTGTTTTATTAATATTGTTCCAATGGTATATATTTATTGATTGATTGATTGATTAGGGTATTTATTTAGATTAATAGAACTATTTTACTTTGATAAAAAAAAATGGTTTGAAAAAAGTTGTGAGGGTTTTTTTTTCTGATTACTTCATTTTATTATTGTTATTTCCTTTTTATTTCCATGTCATCTTTCTCAATATTATTATTGTTAGTAAAATGTGTTGTGTCTTGATGGCTTTGTTTAAATATATTTTTTTTCCTTTATCGTTTCCTTCATCTATACTGTATTTTATTTTAAAAAATATCAAGTATTAATAGGCAAATGCCTTTCTTAACAAGCAATTAAATGTGCCACATTAATGTTATATACCATTTCTGTAAATATATAGACTAGGTCTTGTCTCTTTAAGTAACCTTGATCGTGTTGCTTTTCATCTTATATGACCTTTGAATTAAACTTGTCATTTAATATCATTTCTATTGTTTTTTCTCATATTTTGTTATCCTTTTCTTATTTCTTTATTATTTTATTATCTATTTTATCAGTTCCATATAACATATGTTTTACAGTTTTGTTTCATATTTGGATATTTTACTTGAAAAAGACTTTAATGGTAATCTGACAACTAAGCTTTATGATAAAAGTGATGACTTTAACTTTTGAATCGTCAACTTCCCTTTCTTATGCAGCAATATACCTTCATCACCTGCATACGGGGTTTATATTTCTCAGTTGATTCGATACCTAAGAGCATGCTATACATCTGAACAATTTCTAAAACGAGGTAAGTTATTGACAAACAAGTTGATGAAACAAGAATATCGGCAGTCTCGTTTAAAATCGTCATTTCGTAAGTTCTATTGTTGATACAATGACCTTGTCAGCAAATACAATTTATCATTAAGTCAAATGCTGACTGACGTTTTTCATACTAACTGTTAGGCCATTAATTACACATTGAATTGACGACGAATTTTTCCGTCATTTCCCGATCATGACAAGGAGCAAACGGCGGGTGTGACCGGTCGGCAGGATATGCTCACCTCTCCATGGCACCTGATCCCACCTCTGATGTTTTAGAGGTCCGTGTTTGCTCAGCTCTAAAATTGGTATTGTTTAATGGACTTTTGAGCTTGCATATTGTTCGTTATCGCCATATATTTTATTCCATGTCCTTATTTCCAATGCATATGCATGTAAGACGCATGTATGCAAATAGGTAGCGATTCCGTCAATTTACACACTTTGTAGGTGTATTTTAGATTATATTATTTTCTGTAAAAAATGCAAAAAAGGATAATGTTTGAAATATCAAGAAGCCAACTTCTGTTTGTAACTTCGCAGTATTGAATTATACTGAGGATTATTAAGTATGACTATGGATTATTTCGTCTACCTGATCAATACACAGGGGCCGGGATCGGTCAGCAGGGGAATGTTTACTCGTCCTAGGTACCTGATCCCACCTTTAGAACTTCCAGGGGTTCGGTTTCATGCCATGTACTCAAATTTGTATTGTTTGAAAGTTTCTGAGATCGATCAATATTCACTATATGAAACACGTCAGGCAAAATACGACCCATTGATAAGTTATATTTGATAACAAGACCATTATAGGAACTATTCCTTAACAAGAAAAATGACCTTTGGAGATCAATTGATTTTTTCACAGAAACAATCTTAATAACAGCAGTTGATGTATTTCAATGAACAGAATTATAGTAGAAGCATTTTTTCTTCTCACTTAAACTGTGAATTAAATCGTACACTCTTATAGAAGTATAATCACTAACAGAATGATTAACATACTGGAACTACGAATGCGGAAGATCTAGTCTTTCAGAGTAGGAGTCTTTTGTGAGTCATATAGATGACGCACATTAAAACTCTTATATCACCATAAAAACGTGACTCTGTATTATTCATACACTTTAATGGAATTGCTTGCAATTTTACAAATGAAAAACATAATTTATACTTTATATAAAAGATTACATTATCAAACAAACAGAGAGGGGAATCATCAAAAATTTCCATTGAAAAAAGTACACCTTGGTTCTTCGAATATTTTCAGATTTTTGTAATATTTGCATCTTTTTTCACATTAAAAGGCATAACACGATAAAATACGGTAAGCAGGCTAAATAAGAAGGAGAAATGGGAATGTGTCGGTCATCAATATTTCAGTTAATTCATTCTATTAAAGTTTGTTTCCATTACATATTAAGTATCCCCTGTCAACCTGTCACATCCTCAGTAAGCCCTAATATCCTAGCTCTGTTTGGATCAGGGAAACTAAGTAAGCCGTAGTCTTATTTGTGTAAAAGCGATGACTTAACAACTGGTGGGAAACATGCCAGTCATAATACGACCAAACAAACTCAACCTTGCTTAAGGTGATACATATATACATAGAAGATATGATGCAAAAAGGGAAATAGCCCAAAATTATTTAAAATTGAAAACTAGAAAACCTCATGAAATAACATAACATATAACGAAATGACTTTTCCAAAACATTTTCTGGTAATTTAGTACACCATTACTTCACTTGTTGTATAAAAAGTACGTAGTAATTATGTTACTCACTTGCACCGACACCCTTTTTACAGAACATTCAGAAAGGTTCGTGTGCGACAAGGGGATCAAACAAATCAAGTCACTTCACAATATTAAGTACTTGTACCAGTCGCGGTAGCCTAGTGGTATGGCGCTCACTTCATGATCGGGAGGTACCGGGTTCTATAATTGTTCCCGTACATGTAACATTAGACGTTACGAAAGGTAGTGACTGTTCCTCAGATACGCCCGGCTCTAGATGTGAAGGTCACTGGTCTTTCGAATGAGATTTTTAAAAAAAGGTCATTAGACATGGAAGGCGTTGGCACGGTAAAGAACGTCATTGCTCAATGGCCTTAAGGGACGAATGAATTTTAAATTTAAAACCCTTCACCCGTATATGGTGACATAAAAGTAAAAAAAAAATTCTCGCAAGGGACCTAAAACCTAAATAAAATAATCATCACAATATAAAGTCGTTCGAATCCTCTACTTAAAATGATTTCTGAGGAATAAATATGAAAACATAGTTTGCAATTATGTATTCATTATAAAGAATAGGGAAGAGATGGTCAAATCTTTTTAGTACTTTACTTATTCGGGACAATCAGTTGTACTAAGGATTAAAACTACATGCTGAGGACGGGAAGAATTTTTATTAAAACCTCCTCTGTGATGTGGCAGTCACGTGATTTTAGCAAATATACTTGCAGTTTTGAGATACATTTGTATACTTGTGAGAAGACCTTTCAGATTTTGATAACCTTAAAAGTTTTTAATCTAATAACATTGTTTTAGAAGTTTGATCTAGTTTTATCATAATACTTCTGAGAGTTGTTATCAAATCCATTAGTTATAGACTTAAAATATATTGAAAAACTAACATAGTACATGGCTGAAAACAAAAAGCGTACTCACCTAAAATCTTACAAGAAAGGAATTGTACTTTTTAATGAATGCTACATACAGTGGCTGCAACGTTATTGTTGAGAAACTAATCGTGTAGAATCGTTCGTGTAACGTGCGTGATCGTTCGTGTAACGTGCGAGATCGTGCGTGTATCAGACTCAATCGTTTGCGGTTTTAATCGTGCGTGATCGTGCGTTAAGAAACGTGCAAATTTCGTTTTGTTAGTTTTTATCGGAATGTTATTTGTTATGCAAGTATTTCGCTTGTCTGTTTTTTTTTTTTTTTTTTTTTTTTTCAATCCAAATAAAATAAATGAAGCGCGATTTACATAATTGAAAGCAGAACGACCTAATTATCGCTTGGATATAAGCAATAAAGTAAGTCGTACAATATTGTGTTCTCGTCAAATAGCGAGATTTTTTGTGATAAACCGTACTTAGATGTTTAAGGATTTTTTTCTCTGATGTTAATTATGTTTACTGCTAATTATGGTCAAGATATTTTTAAAATTAATAGATCAAAAATAGATATTTTTTTACAAATAAATAAATAAACAATTCTCAGTGCGTACATAAATGCGAATGTACACGACATGATTGTGGGGTTTCGTTTGTCAGTGTTTATCTCTGGAGCTTATTTTTAATTATTTTTTATAATTTCTGCAAATAAATGATTTGTAAAATAATTGTTGATTTTAAAGATTCACAAATGGAAACATAAATATAACTTATAATTTAATTCATTTTCGTGCCATTTTTTCAAACTTATTCCCTTTCTGCATATTATGAGATCCAATTCAATCAAAACTCACGGTCCACCTACATTTACAACTTCTGATAGAACAAAAAAAAAGTTTTCTTAAGTCGGAGAATTACGTAAATAATTATTTGTAATCTAAAATAATTAAGAAGTCTTACATGTATGTAGTTCCAGAAATATCCATTTCTATGTTGTTTTTTTTCATTTTTCAAAGTCGATGAAATAATATCAATGATTATGTGAAATCTAAAATAAGTATTAAGCCTTTAGTTATTTCGTTTTGAAAATATCCATTCCTAAAGAATTTGAACTATTTTGCTTGAAGAATCGTGCGTTTGCGTTAGCAATCGTGTAAGATCGTGTAACGTGTAGAATCGTGTGCGTGAAGGATCGTTCGTGTAACAGATTTTATCGTGCGTTAGTCGTGCGGAATCGTTCGTGTAACGTGATCATTCGTGTAAATTGTCAACAATAACGTTGCAGCCACTGTACATATGTGCAATATCCAGCCTCCCCCCCCCCCTCAGCAAAAATCTATCACTCTATCACTTTCCAACTACCAGGGACATATGTACAGGATGTAAGCTTCTTTCCAATGGTATCTAGAGAAGCCACTTTTTACACAAATTAAATTTTTATTTTCATGAAGTTAAACAACTAAGACATTATGTAAGCATATATTATTGTACATCTAAATAAATCATCCATATATCGAGATTCATTCAGGATATCTCGTCGTCTGATTGTTTATTCTGAAAAGAAACATAATATACATGTAAATAGAGAGATTTAAAGACCAGTATATTTAGATTTAAACCACTTGATTGTTACATTTTTAGAAAGTCATTGAGTCTTCTCTGTTGAAGAAAAGTCTATTTTTATTTTACTTCTCTTTTTTGAAATGGCTCTCTTGTGGTGGATGTGGTTTATTTCGTTTCCAGGAGTTTTCCACTGTTACGGTTAGTAACTGAATGTTATTTGAACTTTCTGACATTTGATATTCTCTGTTCAATGCGTTGCTCAAATCGTCACAGTGATTCGTGTGATTCAGTTATTAAGTGAAACGCTAATTTTTCGTCTCCAAAAGTAATTATAGATTTTAAAAAATCTCTGATAGCATATGGAAATATTGTAATCCATGATATATTAAAAAAAAAAAAAACAAACAAACAAAAAAAAAAAAAAAACACAGCGATATTAGTATACCTGTGATAATAATAATAATCTTTGCAAATGTAAAGTATTCCATTTCCATAAAAGTTAAAAAAAAAGCATTTCTGACTTTAAGGACTATAAAATGTCTAGGATTTTATTTTATTCTATTTAGATTTTATTATAGAGAAATGAAATTTATCATTATAATATTTTTTTTTTTAATAATTAAAAGCTTATGTTTTCTAGATACGAAAAAAAAAATAATCATATTAGAAAGAAAGTATTGAAATGTTGATGAATTTATATAAGTTTTTTTTTTTTTTAAATCTATTTGGTATTAATGGTAAAACAGATGTAATATAATCCTGTTAATATACAGATAACATATGTGAAACAACTACATGTAAAGCCACACAAAGTTCTACAAGAAATGGTTTATCGGCAAATAAAGTGATCGACAGAAATATTGAACAAAAAGAGAGTAGCTGTTCACATACCGAAGTAAATAAAACAGAACCAGCTTGGGTTATGGTGGACTTAGGAAAAGAATATCAAATTAGAAACATTATCATCTATTACAGAGATGAATGTAAGTATAATTCTAGTAAGAAGATACAACATGCTTAAAACTATATGCATTATGTTACATCATATGTGGATGTAGAGTACAAAGAATTTCTGAAAATAAAATCCATTTCGTTTAGGGGTATTCATCTGATTTGTCCGTTTATGTCAAGTTCCCATTTAGCATTCATGTAAATTCAACCTGTCGCCAGAAAATATAGTTTTCTATGCGAGCATCATGATTGCCCAATAGAAAGTTTAATGAGAAACTGAAAAAAAAAACGAATTCATAACGAGATACTTATTGAAGATATTAAAATTAATTCTAAAAAGGAGATATAAATACCATTCTACTGACTGCGTACAGTCACTGTAGTAAAAAAAAAAACTGTCTCTCAATTCTAGCTACACATAATTTAGGTATACTCGCTGCACAGCCTTGACGTCAAAATCCATTTTGTTTTCGTAATATGATTTCTATACCGTGCTTATTTTTTATGATCTCAGTTTTTTTTCTGATTCAAACAAAAATTATGTTTATAATTAGGTCTGTGGAAAGACCCATTGAAATTGTTCTGACTAATATTATTACTTTTTTCCGCTGATTTTTTGTTTCGGGTCTAATCGAATAGCTTTTTGTCCATCGTAAAGGTCGTAAAAAGTTATGAACAAATTTGACCCAACGCGTATAACCTATGACCCCTTTCGCAGTATTGCCCCTTTTGCTAGAAGCCTTGTTATCGCTACTCCTCTGAAACCGTAAATAGTCGAGACAACAAAACTTCACTAATATCTTCAGAGTCTTTAAACACATCTTCAATCTATTCAGTGCGAAAGGATCTGATGACCCCTTATATGAGTTAATGCCCCTTTAAATCTTTGCGCTAACTATTTAACCCTATAAGTTTAAAACTAAAAGTCGTAAAAACATGGGAGCAATTGCAATGTGACCCTTGATTTTTGTCTTTCAAAATTTATTCAAGTTCAAGGTCAAAGTCATTTCATTTTTTTAATTTTAATTTTTTTTCCATTTTTGAAGTAATTTCTGCTTTCTTTTTCATGAAATTTAATTGTAAAGATTAAATACATAAAAATTATCGAAATTCAAAGAAGGTGGAAAGACCTCTAACTGTTCGAGAACAATTAGTCTACTGGTTTGAATTATTTTCTCTCTAATTATGGTTCCAACGAGAGTTTGAACATAGGTGTTAAAGATCGTTAATATCTGATTTCGTGACTGCCCTGGGAAGCCCTACCATTGACACATGTATATACCATTGGAAAGAAGCTAAGAAATAAAATATTTGTAAAAAGTAGGGATGTCAATTTTTTCAATAATTCATATTCGAATATTCAATGAAAGTATTCGAATATATTCGAATATTCGATAAAATAAATAAAATCTGTTTTATTTCAAGAATGCGCAATTAAGGTTAAGCGTAGGTATACTTATATTGGAAGTAAAATTGTATGAAGACTTTTGTAGGACTTTTGTAGGTGTACAATAAGAAATTTCATTTGATATTTGTCAATGTTTGAAATAAATAATTGATTTAAATGTAGAAAAGTATAATTTTAACAAATGAAAGATGTGTATTTATAGTAGCTCCATCTGAGGAACCAGTTGTCTTACCAAAGGCAAGATAGTCCTAACGGTATACTGTTCAGATCTCAATACGTGTAATGAATTACAAATATCTGCTTAATAAGAGGTATGATTATAATCTTTAATACAATGTAAACAAATATTTCCATAGACAAATTTCCCGATAATGAATATAAAATTCAGGATTATGTACAACCCGAGATAATCAAGTAATTTACACATTTATTCTGAAATTAAGCCCTTTAAAATATTAAATACAGACTAATTCTATCGGACATCAATTCAATGATCAATTAATTTATAATCTTCACGCCTTGTAGACATTCTAAGATTGTTGTCCTCGATTCTATATCCGATCATATCTAACTAAAAAAAAATATGAAAGTACGTTTTGTATTATTAAGCATTATTGTACAATTCTTTAACACCTTACTCAAAACAAAATACATGTACATGTAATTTAGTAGATCTATAAGATAAGAAAGTAGTGAAAGAAATCAGGCGATCGAAATTGATCGCTAGTAAATTAAACAGGTTTAATCCAAGCACTGTTCTAATCCAAATTTATCAATCACAGTACTTCTTTCGTTGCCATCCCTAGTAAAAATGCATGGTGTTTGTCAAACGTATGTGCCAATTATCATCAGAAGGCGTTCATTAGGAAAAAAAGCACAATGTCACAATAATTACCGAACAGACTACTACATAAAAATTATATTTCATATTTACATAAATAAATGTTCTAGTTTCTTTATAACAAGTTTCTTCAAATACTTATAAGGCGATATTACATTGTGACAGTATAGCTATTAATTCATTGAACGCTTTCCTCAAACTTGGAAAAAAATAAAGTTGACAGGACTCTTATTTTCAACGTATATTTACTTAGTAAACAAATTCTTACTGTTTTAAAAGATTCATGAGGATAAATAGCCTTCATCGCCCTGGTAAGCGTCAACATAACTAAAGGTCCAAATGTGATTTCAAAAAATATCATTACAATCGAAAATAAAAAGATTTCCATTTCTTGATAAAAAAAAAAAAACCTTAAAAGCCAATCCGCGAGAAAAAGATGCCAAATTAAAAAAAAAAAATCGTCCAAATGGAAGGTTACAAGATAGGATTTTTAGTGGCTTAAATTTTTCTACATAAAAGTAGAAGTCAGAATATTTATGATATAACCTCGCATCTATTTTTAGTAACAGCTCATTTGCATATTTGTGGAAAGTTATACAAATTTATACTGATTTAGATACTTCACATAAATTTATATATTCCTGGAGTTAAATTGTTATCTCCCCTTGTTGAATTTTTTTTGTATTATTGGCTAAAAATGACAGGTATATCAACATGGAATAAGGAAAGTTTTAATGATTATTTTATATGAACCTGGGGAGTTGTTGTGGAACGTCATTGCACTATGAAAGTGAAAAATAAAATTATGATCTTTGAATGTGAAAAAAAACTAACAACAACAATTCAGCTTGAAGAAGCAAATAACCCCTGCGCTGAGGCCTTCTATGTCGTATCGGTGTGTAGAAATGGAAATTGTGATAAACTCTTCTTATTAAAACCTTAATTATATGCTTTAAAACATTGTGATGACGTTTTGTCCACTGGAGAGACAAGCAGACATTTTGCATTTATGCGAATAGAGGGATCACCCCAAAACAAGCAAGGACAAAGCAAGTATCATGATATACATCTAGAATATTCCGACTGTGCAAAGAACACATGACTCTAGCCAAAACATATGCCATTTTGCAGTACAGACTGGAAAGAATTAAAAACGGGCATGAATGTAAGATCTATAAACATGATAAAGGAGTGATAATTTCATTCAAATGGGAGGGGTGCTGTCAAATTTTGTCACGACATTTATTTTTTTATAATATTATCTTGTATTATGCTTTGTAATTTATTTGAAACTTTGTCTGAATAACCATAATAGTAATAATAATGCCCTTGCAGACAGATTTTAATTTTGGAAATGATCGGAGAGTTTTTTTGTATATATGTATTCACTGAAAACAGTTGGCTGGGGGGGGGGGTGCATTCAAGGGCAAATTAACTTATTCCCAGTGGAGGAAAGATTATTCATTTTCAAGTTCAGGTTCTATATACATGTGTATCTACCCAGTAGTTTTACTCGACCCACCTACCTCCCCGCAAATGAACTTGAAATGGCTGTTCCCTCAAGAAAATGGATGTAATGATAAATAATTAATAATTGTTTACTGTTTATCAGGACGGTTATACCAGTTTCAATGAGCAAAATTAAAAAAAAAAATAGGCATATATATATGGAATGATATTGAGAAATATATTAGCTGTACATACACCCCAATATGTACAAGTACTCACATAGGATCTAGAAATAATTTTGGTAAAACTTTTGATTACTTATAAAATATACACGTTTTGTATGCCTATTGCCAGTTAAATGTAGTGCAACATGTGCAGTTTATCTAAGGAATTTATAATGACGGTATAACTTTATCGAAAAAAAAAGTTGTGCTTACAGGTCTGTACACACATTACTTTTCACAAGACTGTATCATATATGATATTCCATTATCTGATATGCCTATTTAAACAAAGCACAACAGAAACTATTGAAGTTAAAATTATGGATATTAGGGAAGGTCAACAAAGGAGGAGGTGCATGCTAATGACAGTTATACATATGAACCAGAGCAAGAATAAACGTTCAAAGGTTTATAGAAAAAACTTCACTAATATACTGTATCATAAGTGGAACCATTATGTATGGAAGCATGTTTACAGCAACAAGAAAAATGCTTTGACATAGTAAATCGTTTACAAGCAAGAAAATACTTTATAGGTATTGCTCAGACTTAGAGGATGAAAAGAATGTTACAGATATAGTGATACCCATATCAGAAGGATGGTTCCTGAAGATAATCAAAATTCTTATTAAAAGAGACTTAGTGCTAAAGTGAAAGAAGTCTTTACAGTTACACAACATATATGTTGAATGTGACAGAACAGGAAAAAGATAAATTTGACCACATTATCGGTACATGATCAATGTTCGAAACAGGCAGAGAATATTCAATGGTTGAATTTTAATTCTTCTCAGATCAGGAGGAGATTTTCAGATTTTGTGAAATAATCTTAGATCCAAACTTATAGAGAAATTTTTTTTTTTTTTAATTGTTATGCAGATTTGGTTATATGAGGAGGATTTAGATAATAAAAATCGAAAGTGCATGGAAAACACGAACTGATTTTTAGGATGAAAGATATTGTGACTTAAAATTGTCAAAATATTGCTGACAAATTAATTTTACTTTAACAATAAAATGTACGTACTAAAATATAGTTATATATTTTTTCTATCAATTAATGCAAGTCAAAGATCAATGCAAGTGTTAACCATACAAATGGTAGCATATCAATATATACTACAGGTATGATGTAAAACTGCATGCAATGACATGTATTTTTAATATTTTTTTTTTTTTTTTTTTTTTTTTGGTTAATCAAGAAAGTACCATATTATGGTGTTCAAAGAGCAAATTTAGTGAAATATTATTTCTAGTATTTGCACTATGATTAAAATAATAATAATAATAAAATAATAATAATAAAATTTTATATAGCGCCTTATCTTATGTGAACTCTAAAGCGCTTTACATAGAAATAACAATCTACATAATAAAAGGAAGACTAAAAACAATCTTATATCACCTATAAAATAGTAAGACATTCTGAAAATACAGTCACGTTGATATTAAAACAAGCCATACGTATATACACTTTCCACTTCAAGTAAAGGCTTTTTTTTTAAAAAGATGAGTCTTAAGTTCCCTTTTAAAAACTTCCAATTTGTGAACTTGTCGAAGTTCTACTGGCACCTGATTCCAGAGTGTTGGAGCAACTCTATCGAATCTACGATCACCGTATGTTTTTGATCGGACTCAAGGCACAACCAACTTGTTTGACGAAATCGAGCGAAGTGACCTGGCGGGTCTGTATTCGCAAACTAGTTCAGAAAGATAAGTCGGTGCCAAACCATGAAGTGCTTTGAAAACATAGACACATAGTTTGTATTGCACTCTATATTTGACAGGAAGCCAATGTAGCTCAACAAGTATGGGCTGAATATGTTCACGCTTCCCTGTCCTAGTAATAAGTCTAGCAGCCGTGTTCTGAACCCTCTGCAATTTGCATATGTATGTGCTATTTATGTTGAATAAGAGCGCATTACCATAGTCCAATCGTGACGTCACCAGAGAGTGGACAAGTGTTTTACATGCCCCATCCGTAAGAAAATGTCTAATGCGTCCTATTTTGCGAATCTGCGAGTAGCATGTCCTTGAAACAACATTACATTGCTTTTCAAAAGATAGGATTCGATCGAAAAATGCACCAAGATTTCTAACATTCGAAACACTGTGAATGATTTTTTCTCCAAACGATAAGCTGAATTCGGTCATGGTTTTGATTCGACTCTTAGGGGCAAATACAATAAGATCAGTTTTATCCTCGTTTAATTTCAGCATGTTACTAGACATCCATGACTTGATTTCATTCAAACAGCATGCTAACCGAGAAGACACATTCAGCCAGGTCTCAGTTGGTTTTACTACTAGATAAACTTGCGTATCATCGGCGTATACGTGGTACCTCATACCATGACGCAAGCAAATCTCGGTAAGCGGACGGGAAAAAATACAGTATATTTTAGGCCCCAACACTGAGCCTTGAGGTACACCGATATTTAATGGTAATGGATCGGAAATTTTGGAACCAACTGATATGCGTTGCGTTCTTTGACTCATGTATGACTTGATCCACAAAAGAGCGTTCTCTGTTATACCAAAAGTGTGTGCAAGCCGTTTGAATAAGATGCCATGGTCAATGACGTCGAAGGCTGCCGAAAGATCCAACATAACTAGAACTGCACAACTGTTGTTGTCCAGCGCAGCAGCAATGTCGTAATGAACACGAAGTAGGGCTGTCTCAGTGGAATGGTATTTCCTGTAAGCGGACTGAAGGTCATCGTTAAGACGGTTTTGTTCTAGATGACGATCAATTCGAATGGCGACGACCTTTTCCAAAACTTTTGATATGAAAGGCAAGTTCGAGACAGGTCGATAATTTTTGAAACATTCTTTATCCAAAACTTGTTTTTTAAGCAATGGTTTCACAACTGCCTCCTTGAAACTCGATGGAACAGAACACTCAGATATCGATTTGTTGATGATATCTGTGATATGAGGCACTAATACTGAACTTTCACATTCTTGGAGTAAATTGGTTGGTAACGGGTCTAAACAGCACGTTTTTGGTGCAGAGTTTGACAAAATTTTCAAAACTTCCTCACAAGTTGTAGGATCAAAATTGACCAACGCTTCACCCTGAAATGGTTTATCAAAAGCCATGGAAATAGTGTCGCCTCTGCTTTCACTGACCAACTCATCTTGAATGTTGTTTATCTTGTTACTGAAAAATGATCCAAACTTGTTCGCTAATTCCAAATCAGATGTACAGTCGGGAAGAATAGGAGCATTTGATTCTCCAAGTAATGAATTCCTAATTTTGAAATTTACCGCAAGAATTAATTTTGGACAGATAGTAGTCTCGCTTGCTTTCAACGAGTAGCTTCGTGCTCGATGAACGCTTTTCCTTGTAAATCAAATGATGCACAGTCAGTTTAGTGCGCCTCCAAACCCTTTCAGCTTTTCTTTTCTCACGTTTTGCTTCGCGCAGTTCAGATGAGTACCACTTTGTGTTCGGTCTTAACGTAATTTCTTTTCTTAAGAGAGGTGCGTGTTTGTCGACAACATCGCGCACAATGGAATCGTAATTCGTAACATGGTCGTCAAGCGAAATGTCATCTGATTTCAGAAAACTAAGGGTGTCATCGAGGTCGGAACTCAGGTCCTTTATATTAACTTCGAAATGAAAACCTTTGTGTAATTGGACTATATATGTTTGTTGAAAAAATATTTATACAAATACACATGAATGTTGAAAATATTGTTGAAATTTCTGGCTAACACAATTAATAAAAAAAATTAAAGATTATGAGTTTAAAACTGGAAAGGCGGTGGGGGTATTGTTGTCGTGAAAGTCGCTTAAAATGTTAATTTTGGAATATGCAACAACTAAACACCTCAGAGCCATACAATTTGATCCCCACAAACCAATTTTCTCCCTCAAACTACAAAATATAAATGATTTAACAGTATATCATTTTACAAAATTTTAGTAAGATTATAAGAAAAACATGTGCAATTCTAATTGAAAAAAAAAACAGATTTCAATAATAATAATAATAAAAAAAAGTTCTTTGATTTTTACTTATGTCCCTCATATCTCAGAATCATACCATAATGAATTTACATGGAACTATCAAAATTAAGTTATATGATTTGAAAAAAAAAATGCTAAACTCCCTTATGAAGTATTTTGTAAAGCATTTAATCATTTTCATGTCCGAATTTTGATAATTCAGAAATGTTATTTTGACAAGAGTGTGCCAATTTAAAATTGTCAGAATGCAAACAACTTATCTGAGGCTCAGATGTGTTCAAGTCTCATAATTTATATGTATTGTGAACCGTGATATAGTCATCAGTAGTCCTCCTGAATTCAAATAGTTGTAAACTCCATTTTTTTTAATTATAGCAAAACTATCTTACAAAAATGAAAGAGACATGAATATTCAATATGATCGTGAAAATTTACAAGTAAGCCAGAACAATATATCATGAATTCATTCCATTTCTAAACAAGTGGCAAAATGCCAATCCTCATAGGTAATTTTTGATATTTTTATTTAAATTTCAATTTTAGCATTTTTTTTTCAATTTTTATTATGGTTATATAGAAAATGGTAACATTTTTCCTTAATCTAACAACAGATATTTATAATTTAATGTTCTATATTTGACTTTGTAACCCATTGAAATTTGAATATTTTTTTGACAATTCGCAATTTGTATATCTCTATATCTCAATAAATTATGAAAACCCGAGATTAATATTTTGCAGGGATAATATTTAGAGTTATATTTTGACAATAAGATCAAAAATTTTAATTTTGTGGCTTTGTCTTAGAAGATTTTGGCCATTCAATACGTAATAATTTTGTCAATTCTTCAAACTTGGTATTTTGCCAATTTTTTAAGAGTTGTCTACCCTTTGATATGTTGTGTATTTGATTATGATAAATGTCAGTTTCAAAAGAACATAGTCATATGTTACTTTGAAATACCTTAAAGGAAACACAAATTTAAAATTTGAGTTGAATAAATCAAATGTATTTTTTTACCATTGTCCTTGAATTATATAAGTGCATTTGCACTTAAATGTGCAAAAAGAAGGTGGTGCTTCCTAGACTGCCATTTTCGATGATGGGGAAAAATTTTGGCTTTTTTAAATTACATTTTATGTAGTCTAACTTCCCACCAAATTTCATCAAGATATGACAACCTTCAAACCTTTGACCAGTTTTGCATGGTTTTCTCGCGGACTGGCTCTTAAATTGTTAAAAACGAAAAACTCAATTTAATCTCAAGAATTTGCAGCTCTCCACCGGCAAGTGGTGGCGTCTCCATATGAGTGAAAATTCTCGAGAGGGACGTTAAACAACATACAATCAATTAATCAGTCCATGACGCGGAGGGTCAAAAGCTTCTTTTGGTTAATATGTAACATTGGTGTGGGTTTGCAATAAAACATTATATGGTCAATTTGGTGAGCATTGTACCCCTGAATCAATAAATCAATTTCAAACATCATTTTACATAAAACATGTAAAAAGTATTTTCTTTTAGAAAAAAATGAAAGAAGGCGTTAATGTACTATGTAACATTGTTTTTCATACTTACTGATAGAAATTACCTTGGGGAAAATAGTGTATCTAGATAATTGAATAATTTTTGAAAATGTCCATACTCTGCAAATTTTTAAGTGTGTGACTTTAGTTCCCATCTGTTAACCATCTTAACTAATGATTGTCTGCATTAATTGCCAGAAGAAAATGAAGACGAAAAAGCATATCTCAGCTACACGTTATATTCAATTTATCAATTATTTGAGATTGATTATAATATGATTAGCAACGTTTACTGGCCTCTTAACAATTTTTTGCTATAAATCTTTTCTATATCTTTACACTTTTGATATTTTCAATATTATAGTTTAACACTTTTCTTTCATGGAAAAAATATGACAAATATGAAATGAAAAAATATAATATTGTCATCCTTTATAATTAAAATTTATAAAGATGAGGGAAAAAAATACATACATGAGGACAATGCCATACTTTTTAGGGACCTTTAAAACAGCCTGGAAACCGTACCGATTTAGGCAATATGGCATAGAGGTATCCAACACCTCGAATACACAACAGTGGGCCCTATGTTACAAAGATAACACAACGGATGCCAGAACACCTTCCAGTATACAGAATATCTCATGCGAAAAAACAGCCAGATTCCTCAGAATTATAACAACTTATGATGCTCCTGAAGATGATGAATACGAAATCACAGGTGCTATACTTGAAATATGTGAAATTCAAATTTATGGTAAGAAAAACTTTTTTGACATTAATTCTAGTAGAAGTAGATGTACAAATTACAAAAGATAGTATATATTTTTTTTGTTTTTGAATCATAATTTTTCGGATGAAATTTAACTTACAGAATGAAGAATAAAAAAGGCGTGTAATTGTTTCCACGCATAAATTTGCCCATCATTTAAGTTCTCATCCCATCGCAATCAGGGGTCATGAGTCTATTCATGGCCTTCAGATCTCTCAAAAACTGCATTCAGGTTTTGTTTTGTGAAAGGGGGGAGGGGCTTGTCTCATTGAGAGGCACCAATCAAATTGGGAGTTTCATAAGTTGACATAAAATATAAATATGTAAGCAGCTTACACATGAATGCACGCATCACAAATGTCTTGTCATAGACCGATATCATTGCCACAATCCTTTTTAAAATAAGTTTATTTCTTATTTTAAATAAAAATTACGTTACAAATAAGAATCAAATGTTTAAAAAGAATTATATGGCATTGATGTCCCTCCATAGTTTATCGCTGAAAGGCTTAATGTAATTGGTTGATTAATAAGAAACATTATCAGGATTTATTATTTCCCAGATGGACCTCACCTCACTGCAGTCAAGCCTTATAAACAAATCCTGTCATTGGTCATACAGTCACCCGTGGACTCTAGACCCCTGACAATGTGAAAATATCTGGTTCTCTCCTCCAAAATTGCGCAATATAGTATAAAATGCATCAAATAAAATGAATCTATACAAGTAAATGCTATTGAAGTTTATGTACTAAAACATTAAATTAATTTTTATCTAAAACAGGGACAATTTCGATATCGTTCAGGTATATACATGTACTGAAATATCAATGTAAAATTAAATGACTGAAACGATATGAGGTATAATAAACAATTTTTTTGGCTTAAATGTGAGATAGTTGTTGATGTGAGAAAAAAAAATGTATCGTCATCTGTTGCATAAAATAAGGTTAATAAGATCAAGATATATACTTAGTAACTTACTATCTGTTGCGGGAAAACAGGATATTCTGCATACATGCAGAGAGATAGACAGACAGCTAGACAGACAGGCATCGTTCAGAACACAATCTCTTAAGCTGTTTATAGGAAACATCATCGTTGCAAACACCACGGCCAAACTATACGATCCTTTCCATTCTGGCTGTGGTCGAATGGGAAGAGAGTATTTCGAGGGTCATTAAAATATTGACCCATGGGAGTAATGCAAAATCGGAAGTTTACCTTTATGTGATGAAGTGACCATGGTAGAAGGTATTAAAAGCAGACTACTGACTCTAGGTTGAAAGGAAGAGGCATTCACGTAGTTTTAAATAGATATGATATTAATTTTTACAATTACATTCAAGGATGTCTTCCTGGGTATTATGGTCATGCATGTCAGCCTTGTAGCAGGAACTGTGGCGATGGCTCTTGTGATGGACGTGACGGTAGATGTATCAAAGGATGCAGTCCTGGATATTATGGATCCTCTTGTGATCGTTCCTGTAGTACAAACTGTGAGAACAACACATGTGATCAGAGTCATGGCACCTGTTCTTGTGTCCGTGGATGGAAGCCATCATATTGTAATAGTGAGTATAAGAAATGCTGGTACTTTACCATTTGTTACTTTGCTTTCCAAATTCTTTAACAATGTTCAGTTCAAAATTCAGTTATATTAGGAAAAAAAAATATTGATGCAGAATACCTTTTATTTGATTTTATATTGACAGATTTGTCAGAATATATACAACTAAATGACTATAAATATAAAGCAATCTACAAATACAGTTAATCTTCGTTATCTCGAAGTTGACGGGACCGTTGCTGAACTTCGAGATATCCGGGGGTTCGACATATCGAGGGTTATAATTCAAATGAACTTCAAATAAACTTAGCGCAGTGAACATGTACTTAATAGTAAAGAAAACATGTCCAATTCCTTCTTGTTTGAATTCTATATACGATTTCTTTAATATACATGTAGATGTATTTAGCATAAGAAGATTTTTACATCCTCTTTATAATTCACAAAATAAAAACGTTGTATAATATGCACAGAAGTATAATCCTTCCACCAACCCGGTAGGTCAACCGCTAGCATCGTTTCCCAAGTATACATAACCGGATATCGTCTATGCATCGTAAATTTAAAAACGGTCTCAGTCAGAATAACGAAAACGAAATGTACATTTTTTTTATTGGAAAAACATGTTCATACATGTAAAAGCGGTTAAAGGAAAATTAATTTACCATAATAAAATCAAATGCAAAAAAAGAAACCCGCACAGGGCACCATAGCACAAGTTTCAAGTTCACTGCGACACACGCTCACATGATGGTGTGTACTGATGATTGTAAATTCTGCACGCTCATATTGGAAAAATAAATTCTAATTGCATTAAATTACAGAACTTTGTTTCACTTTAATGTTTATAGTTTTCACTTTCACATGCATAAACTATGCAAGCGCGCATATTACACCGACATATAGCATTAAATAGCGATTATCAAGATAAACGTACCCCAGCCAGGAACAATTAACGTCTGATCCACGTGTATGCATTTAAACTAATACACACAACCTTTGGCTTGCATAACTAAAATCAAGGTAAGCCATACATACACCTCGTATAATTATCGCGCTATTATCTGTTGATCACAGGAACACAGGTAACTCGTGTGTGACAGACAGGTGGTTGTAATCAATAGAGCATTCAGTTTACCTTAGGGACTTGATCATCAGGGCGGAAAATTATCCAGACTTCGAGATAACGCATGTGATTTTAATGAAGGTACACAATTTTACTTCGAGATAACCGGGGTATTTGACATTACCGTGTTCTACATGGATGGGTTTATTTTAATTATTTATAACAAATTCTTTAACAATGTTCAGTTCAAACTTCGACATATCCGGGGTATTCGAGGTATCCGTGTTCGAGATTTCGAAATTTAGCCGAATATACGACATTTCTGTCATGAATAAATTTCAATCATGTAAAAAGCATTGTTTTCATTAAGAAGGTACAGTTTGGGCTTTATTGTGCCCCAAAAATTCAATGTTTTCAAAAAGTTATGGAATTGGCTTAAATATGAGTTGTGTATATGAATATGATAAATTATGAAAGAACACGGCATGAAGGAGTACCAATCTGGAAATATGACGTCATTAATTTGGTACATTTCTAAGTTTTTAACAGAAAAGGCTTCAAAATCACTCATTTTTGGGGTTATATTCCTTAAGAAAAATATTGTCTACAGCTGTCGCCCACTGCAATTTTTTGGATATGTTGTGAAAAATTCTTTGAAAAATCATATTGCTGAAAATCTTTGTTGGCGATGCATGTGCTCTTTTTTATCTGAGAGAGAAATTCAATGACAATTGATGTCTTCTCCAACTTTTAAAGAAATCAAAGTACTCAGGAGTACAGAGAGCTGGGCTTATTTACAAAGCTGATTTTTTTTTTACATGAGCCATACCTGTACATTGTATTAACAGCTAAATAATGAGCTTTGGAGACATTGGAAGAATATGTACAAACAATTATAAAAATAATAATAATAATAAAAATAAGGGTTCAATGACATCTTATTTGAAAATTATTGTTAAAAATCTTATGAAAAAATTATTTTAAAATATCAAAATAAATGATAAACCAATTAGTATTTGGGACCTAAAACCACAGTCCGAATTTATCAGGGTCAGAGTTAACATGTCACCGCCGAATGTATCTGGTTCCCTCTCCTGCTTTTCTCCGCCTTTGTAGAGAACTAGGCTACGACAACATTGACTATCAAAAAAAAACATTACGCAGAGTAATGTTATATTATATGTAAGGAACAATAACTTTTAAAATTATAATTTGATTAAAATGGTCTCCTTGTGAAGCTTAAAACTGAAATCTTTTGGTCAACAAATTCATTTCATGCATCCAAATTAGATTCAAGGTTCTTTAAAATCTTAGAAACGGCCTTGTAAAAGTAGACATTTGTACCCCATAAAGGTACAAGAATAAATCCTCTCCATTCCGGCCCTGGTTGAATGGGAAGTGAGTATTTCGTAGGTCATTAAAATATTGGCTAATTCTAGTAAAGCAAAATCGGAAAGCAACCTTTGATGTTACTTATTAATATCCGATCCCAGTCTACGTAACATTCATTTTTTATCCTTGAATGTAAGTTGCTGTATGAACGGTTTAAAACATGACGTCACATACAAGGCCCGATTTTTACAGAGCACGATTCCTTAATATGCGATCAAGTAACCATGGGTGAGAAGTATCAAAAGCATACTTCCGACCATAGGTTGAGACGAAGAAGCATTTACTTAGTTTTAAACGGGTATATTACTTTTTTTTTTACAAATACATCTAAGGATGCCTTAATGGATATTATGGTCAAGCCTGTCAGCTTTGTTTTGTTTGTTTGTATGTTGTTTAACGTCCCTCTCGAGAATTTTTCACTCATATGGAGACGCTGTCAGCTTTGTAGCAGGAACTGTCGCGATGGCTCTTGTGATGGACGTGACGGTAGATGTATCAAAGGATGCAGTCCTGGATATTATGGATCCTATTGTAATCGGACCTGTAGTAAAAACTGTGAAAACAAAATCTGTAATCAGAGATATGGCACCTGTTCGTGTGTCCGTGGATGGAAGCCACCATATTGTAATGGTGAGTACAAGAAATTCTGGTGTACTCTACAAGTATTTACTATGCTACCCAAATTTAATATCGCAAAAGAAAAAAAGATATTGATGCAAAATAAATACCAGTTGTTCTTATTATGATATGAAATAGTGATGTTGTTGTCTTACAATAATAGCAACAGTTTTTTTTTTTTTTTTTTTTTTTTTTTTTTTTTTTTTTTTTTTTTTTTTTTTTAATTACATTTGAGGTAAATAAAAGAATTAACGTACAAAATACATGCACTTTTCTCCGAATCACTGAATACATACAATTGTTTTTAAATCATTCAGCTCCAGTTTTTTAACACCCGAGGATCAGGCTAACTTACGCTTTAGTATTTTATACAATAAAACATCTTACATGTGTTAGTGCTCACTCCATGACAGGGAGGTCGTTGGTTCAAACCGCGGCCGTGACTGACCTAAGTCTAACATAGGTAGCAACTGTTCATTCGCCGAGCGCTTGGCACTTTAGAGTGAACGTGTGGAATTAACGGATGAGGCCTAAAAATCCAAGGCTCCTTGTCACGGCAGTCGTAGGCACGATAAAGATTTCCCACTGTTCATTGGCTCTGAGTTTCGAGTAAAGATTGAAATTTGAAGCCGTTCACAGGTACATGATGATGTCTCTATAAGAGTGAAAAAATATCAAAAGAGACGTAAAACAACATACAATCAATCAATCTTACATTGTCAGTATGATAATAATCTTCATGCACGAATGCACTAATTTGCCTATCCTGCTTCTTAAATATAGCTTTTATCTGACTTTTTGTTAAACTTAAAAAGACAAAAATTCACAACAAAACATGTTTAAATTTCTTTGAACCATCTGTGAAAACAACGCTGTACTATTTTGATACATTAGAGAAGCAGGTTACGTATTTTTTCTGCAATGATTGAAATATATTTTATTGTTGATATCTATTCATATCTGCCTCCATTACTGGGATGACCATAATGGATTAAAGGGAGATGTGAAATTCATTGTATTATTTATCTTTTATTACATTGATTAAAAATTCTATTTTCATCAAATCTTTCAAAAAGATGGCTTTAAGAAACTAGACTAGTGTATCTCTTGCGAAAGGAATATTTTGCGAAAATCGTGTTTTTTGAACAAATCGTTTTACTTTTGAAACAGAATTTTGTTCTTAAAGAGACGAAATGAACTTGTAAATTTCAGGTAAATTCTGATATTTGACTAAAGTTTATATACAGTTAAACTTGTCATAGCGGTCACCTTTATCCAGCGGTCACCTGTCCTATGCAGTCATTTTATTTCCTCCCAATGAATTTTCCTAAGCAATGTAACTCTATTAAGCGGTCACCTGCGTAACGCGATCAGAGGTCATAAAATTTCATGTAAAAAAACGCCGTTTTACCTCGTATAAAGCGGCCATCTTGTCCGATCACGTGACCAAATCTAAGGTCATGTGACTCCCAATTTTTGTCACTAATGTAAATAATTGGTCTTGTATAGCGTAATTATGGAGAAAATAATTGGCCTTGTTAAAACCATTTAGTATATTGGATAATCTATTTTTTAACAAAACTAAACAAGAGGCTAGTGGTTTAAAAAAATTCTGAGTGATACATAAGGCATCCTTATATATCTATTAATGGATAGAATAATTAGGTGTTTCCTAATTATTACTTCACATTTGGCATGCCCAGCTCCGATAGGTGTAATTGTGTAAACGCATGACAGACCGTTTTTAACACATAGTAAACGTATTATTTGTAGAAACCCTAATTAACTGTTTTGTATACTCAATGTGTTCTAATTATCTCGTGATTTTCAACTAGGTAAAACGCCGGTAGGATTAGCCTCGCTTTATTGCTCACAACACCTGTGAATTTGATATCAATTTTTATTATGCACTGCTTTGATAAACTAAGAATATAATGAATTCTCTGTTTATTACGCAACTATTTATGTATTATTAAACATACAATTATCAGAATTAACTAAACTTGTTTTTAGAGGCAGTTTAGATAAAGAAAAATACATTATATTTTATTCATGGCACAGCATAAAATATTCTTATAATAAAAGAAAGTTCTGTTGTTGTTTGGAGGGAGGATAATGCAATGCTCTATTAGACTCATTATATTTTTTGTTGGAGTCATCAAATTTATCATGAACTTACTCTTGAGACTATTTAAATTTACAAAAATCTAACTGATGCCATTGATGTCCAAAACACATATTTCTATGATGTAGTATTTTAAATAAACTGGGAAAGAATTTTTTTTGAAAACGATTAACCTCTCTTCAAAGGTCACCTCTCTATAAAGGTCACTTTTAATGATTCCCGCAAGTGACTGCTTAATACAGGTTTGACTGTACATGTATATGTTGAGTACAAACATCTATGAAATGAAATACAAATCTGAATTTCAAAATTTCATTCAAATGTAGCCATCTTTTATCACTTGGTTTCCTCATGATGTCTTTATTCTATAACAATGACATATCTGTCATTTATAGTCATGTTCCTGCAAAATCAACAATGGGGAAACACGAACACGAACTTTTAACGATCTAAATATGACATTAACTTTTGGGCTGGTTGCCGTGGGTACAGAAATTCAAAAGAAGCAAATCATCCCTGGCTAACTTAAGCATGCATGGCATTTCAGGAAAGTACGTTTTCATGCTTGAGAATAACGTTGAAGTGCCTACAATGAATAGCTCTGAATTATTTTCGAATTGCTATTTTTATCAATTCAATTGATGGAACAAATAAATTACTACATTCATGTTTATTTATAATTTTGGAATAAAATAGAATGACAGTGTCTGTTTGTCTGTCTCATAGTATTTTTGTCCAGCGATTATCTGAAACTATTTTAATTTATTTGAAATCTTTGCTTCTTTGCTGAATTGATATGTATATTTTCAGATTGAATTGTCAATATTTTTTCTACGTTATACCTTTTAAAGATTTCATTCTTAATTGTATACAACGTCTTTGACAGGAATAAAAGAATTGCAATTGTCTGGACGTAACCTTTAGACCAAGAAAATTTAGAGATTTATCCTTGATACAACCGTAGCTTGTAACCAAAAGTTATTCTAGATTCTTTACTAATCTCAGGGTTAAATGTCTATTGCATGAAGGTCTAGAAAAAGGACTCTGTCCTAATTGAAAAATTGGCTTTTTACTCTCATTGTGAGGAAGCCCTTAAATGTAATGATTTTTTTTTTTTTTTTTTTTTTTTTTTTTTTGGACTTTGAGAAAAAATATATCATATAAAGGTGCACATATTAAGTGTATCTAGTTTATTTTCAACATAGAGTACTTGCTTTATTGCTCCAGAAAAAAGATCAAAGGCAAGGAACTATTTTTGATCAGAAATCACTGTTTACACTTGGAAAATTATTGGAAATAGATAATGTAATTTTTACCTAATCTTGTTTTAATATTTTTAGATTACAAATTGTGTCATTAAATGAAGATTCAAATTTATTTTATTTTTCTTCTAACGGCAAATCACTTTAACTGAAAAAAAAATACCCCACAAGTAGAACTCTTTAGTGTGCAATGTTAAGAGCTTCCTTAGGTGAAAAATCCGAAACTACAAGCAAATTGAAAATTTAGTGCTTTTTGTAAAAGAAAAATTCATTTTTGCAATAATAAGGGTTCAAGAAGATAGTCATAAAGGGAAAGTGCAGAATATGATTGTCTTAATCATGTTAATTCTACATTAGCAAATAATGTAAGTCGTCAGTATTTACGGATTTTTTCTACTTTAACCGATTTTAAATTTGAATTGAAATAGTACAGGGTCTTGTACCGAGAAGGGTCAATTATGCCCTTTGTCAAGATCACTGGTTACAAAAGTTTGCATTAATTATTTTTCAGCCTTATCTTTGAAATCGAATTAAATATGAGAAACATATACTTGAGCCAAAAGTTGGTTGTTACTCAAGAGTGTGTTTTGACCATAATTTAGAATAATTCGGACAAGTTCAAGGTCATAAGCCTTACTAAATTCTTGCCTTCCGTGTAGGACATTTTTTCCATGTAAATTGGTTTACTTCATTATTTGACCTAATTAAAAATGTCATTATAAAATCGAAATTGACGTGACGTATGAGTATGGTTTAACCTTTAACATTGTCCGCCAGGAGTTCTCTCTGGTAGAGTGGTATTTAAGTGAAACTTTGAAGTATTAATAATCATCAAGTCTAGTAGTACAAGCCATACTACTATGAAAATTTTAAATGAAGTGTAGATACATGTAAGGATCAAGGATATAGCCTTATTAAAAAGGACACTTGACTTATTATGATCGGCGTCTGTGTTTATTTATTTATCCGTATGTTTTTCAGTATGCCTAGCTGTTCATGGTTTCTTGTTTTTAAAGTCTTTCTCAGAACTTCCTGAGTATTCTTAACAATATTTGTTAAGCATATTTCTTTGATCTTCAGATCCAAATTTCTTTGAATGAACGTCAACGTTTCTTTTTTGAAGGACATATACATTGTAGTTAGAAATTGAAATATTTAAAATATCCCCATCAACAACTTGACCTGGAATCTTTAATGGTTTAATCATACTACAGTGTATATGCTGGGAAGCTGACATTCTTTCAATGTTTTTTCTTATTATGTTTGTTTGTTGTTTAACGTCCCTCTCGAGAATTTTTCACTTATATGGAGACGCCACCACTTGCCGACAGACAGCTGCAAATTTTGACCTGTGCTCGGCACTCAGGGCCATTGAGCAGAGAGGGATCTTTTTCGTGCGATCCACGTCCCACAGTGGGATTCGAAACCGCGATGTAAGGATTGACTCCTTACTCAGTGAATCAGTCCTTCCTTTTTACCATAGGAATGAATTCGAAGTAAACAATACCGATATTGTATAGCACTTTTTTACCCTGGTGGCTTCCCCCCTTTAAACTGGTTATATAGTAGAGTTTTCTCAAAGAGAGTAGAACTATAATAAAGAAGATTTTTCCCTACAGTAGAACTTCTCCTCTCTGGTTTTTGGATCAATTTTTAGGGAAAGAAGGATTATGGAAAGACAATTTTGGCATTTAATTGATATTTTATACAACGTCATAATTTATAAGTTATATAAATGTGTACTAAAACAAACTAGTCATGAAGTGTAATCTTAGTGTTTATAATTCTATACAGTTGATATTTTGGTTTGTTTCATAGAATGGCGCAGATATTTTAAATTATTTATCACACGATTGATCTACACAATATGATAAAATTATGAAAAACACATGCATGTATGTATACTGAATTTGCTGTTCCGTAAATGGAAAGTTCCTATTGAACTTAATCATTTTGACGTTAAAAATATTCCCTCCTATTTAAGGAACGGTAACTTTTATAATTATTATTTGATTAAAATGGTCTCATTGTGAAGCTTAAAACTGGTATCTTTTAGTCAACAAATTCAATTTATGCATCCAAATTAGATTAAGTTCTTTAAAATCTTAGAAACGGCCTTGTAAAAGTAGACATTTGTACCCCATAAAGGTACAAGAATAAATCCTCTCCAATTCGGTCCTGGTTGAATGGGAAGTGAGTATTTCGGAGGTCATTAAAATATTGGCTAATGCTAGTAAAGCAAAATCGGAAAGCAACCTTTGATGTTACTTATTAATATCCGATCTCAGTTTACGTAACATTCATTTTTTTATGCTTGAATGTAAGTTGCTGTATGAACAACTATTTTCATTGGTTTAAAACATGACGTCACATACAAGGCCCGATTTTTACAGAGCACGATTCCTTAATATGTGATCAAGTAACCATGGGTGAGAAGTATCATAAGCATACTTCCGACCATAGGTTGAGACGAAGAAGCATTTACTTAGTTTTAAACGGGTATATTACTTTTTTTACAAATACATCTAAGGATGCCTTAATGGCTATTATGGTCAAGCCTGTCAGCTTTGTAGCAGGAACTGTCGCGATGGCTCTTGTGATGGACGTGACGGTAGATGTATCAAAGGATGCAATCCTGGATATTATGGATTGTATTGTACTCGGACCTGTAGTAAAAACTGTGAAAACAAAATCTGTAATCAGAGATATGGCACCTGTTCGTGTGTCCGTGGATGGAAGCCACCATATTGTAATGGTGAGTACAAGAAATTCTGGTGTACTCTACAAGTATTTACTATGCTACCTAAATTTAATATCGCAAAAGAAAAAAAGATATTGATGCAAAACAAATACCACTTGTTCTTATTATGATATGAAAAATAGAGTGATATTGATTTCTTACAATAATAGCACACTTTTTTTTTTTTTTTTTTTTTTTTTTTTGCTCTGTATGATATAACATTTGAAGTAGATAGAAGAATTAAAGTACAAAAAACATGCAATTTTCTCCAAACCACTGAATACATACAATTGTTTTTATCCAGAAATATATTTATTGGTCAATTTTTAATAAGAAAATGCCTAGCACGTAGGTACATTTATTCTTGTTTCCTGAAAATATATTTAAGATTCGATAATTTTTCCTACATAATATGATTTACTTACAGAAGGAATATAATGGGTAAATACACATTACAATAAGAATTCAGAGATATTTTAGATCATTCAACTCCTGTTTTTTAACACCCGAGGATCAGGCTAACTTACGCTTTAGTATTCAAGAGGCAGTCCACCAGAAAACCAGGCAATGGGTGGCACATCGCATGTCATGGATTTTAATTATTTTTTGCATGTAGACTAATTAAAACAAATGTTTACACATGGCGACATCAAAATTTTTTTTAATGTTCGTCTAGTCCTATTTTTGATAAAAGCTTAATTTTAAGTGCAAAATGGTCAAAATGTTCGTTAAAAATTTAGTACCTTTTTGTTTCGTTTTATTTGAAACAGACACTAAAAAACTGGATATGACAATAAATATTATTTATAGTATAAACCCTTATCTTTTATAATATCAATGAACAAGACTTTATGAATTCACTATTCAATTTTCATTACGTTTTAAAATCCAATACATTTCAATGTCAAAACTCTCTTTCCTCGTGTTATTATGATTACAAAGTACAAATTGTTGAATCAATTAAAAAAATTGGTGGGATCAGGTATATTGAGAGAAATAAGAGGCTTCAAATTATCTACTTTTTATATAAATTTATCCAAATTAAACCGATCCCGACCGGAATAATATAAAGAAGAAAGCTACTATAATTTCATGAGGAAATTTTGTTGTTTGCTTTAAGGTATGTCACTCGTGAAATTAGTTATATCAAGGATTTTTTGAGAAGTGTATTTTAGATAAGTACTCATATAGAATGACTCAAAATCGCAAAGAAAATGGGGGGGGGGGGTGAGTGTACATCGTACCGAGCTAGGGTACAATTAAGTTGACCTTTTTGCACTTAAATTGTAACACTTTGGTTAATCATTTTAATCTTAATCATATTTTATCAGATGTAATTTTGGCAATAAATATAATCTTATTTTACGTAAAATAGTTTGAATGATATTTACCATTGAACAAATCATGCAAATTAATGCGCATAAATTATTGTGTGACCTTTTTGCACTAAAAAAGTATCATATTTGGGGTATGAAATATCTAAATGGCCAATAAAATATTTTCTTATATAAAACATTTTATGACTTAAGTGCTGATCAGTTGGAAGTATCATGTTGTTCAAAATAATGAAAGAAAAAGTTGAGGTCAGTGATGTAAATTTTGAGATATTGGTCAAAATGTGCCATTTTCAGGCAGAAAAAGGTGTAAATTTTATCTTGACTTCTTTAATATATCTTCATTTCTTGGCAAAGTGTGTTGAGTGAATGTGTAAAATTTAATCTAAAAATATAAATTGAGGCCCATATTTAATATTCCTAGCAAATCATAACTGAAAATATTCTCTAAGTAAAAATATGTGGGGCTAAAGTTCCAAGATATTAAATTTAACATATGTGGAGATTTGAAGAATTTTCTTCGAAATATCCTTCCACCACAAGAAGTAGTCCCTCATAAATCTTGCTTCTCCATGAATTTGTGAGTAGTTTTTTAATTGAATGTTGAATAATTTGAATTGTTTAATTTAAATACGTTATAAAAATTGAATTGTAATAATTAGTTTTGAAGTTAAAGGTTCTGACTGAACTTTTCTAAAAAGCTGACGAGTGACATACCTTAAATAAGGTTTACAGATTACTTTATTTATTTTTAACATGTTTTCTAGGTGGCAATTACCTTTAATTTGATAACTTAATAATTTCGCATTAATTTCGATCGGGATCGGTTTTATTTCAATCGGGATTGGTTTCTATCTTAAAAATTAGAAATATTTTCTAAAATCGGCTCTTCGTTGTATTTTATCAAAAGAATATGTCTGTATTTTATATCATTTCTGTAAGTCACATGTTTTTAGATGATTTTATCCATAAATTCAAATATATATACAGTGTATCTTAATTACTGAATGTTTTTTTAACGTCCGTGAAGATCTTTTAAATTACATGTAAAACATTTGTTTTATTTCTTTATACACCTAATTAATAAGATTTTTATTTCATGCAACAATTAAAAGCAAATTTTAAGCTTAATAAAATATCCCATTTCCAAGAAAAATAATCTTTAAAATTATCTGGAATAAAAAGAGAAAATCTAAAAAAAAAAAAAAAAAAAAAAAAAAAAAAAAAGCCCTTCAGTGCATGCGAAATTATACATGCACGTACTATAATCCAGCAAGTAAACTTACATACATATAATCATGATTATGAAGCCCAGGAATGATCGCATGAAAAAAAGCGGGGGGTTGGAGGGGGGGGGTGGCTGGGCGGCATCCGTTTTGTATCTTGTTTGATAATAATGAAATATTTTGGAAATTTACCAACCTACTGACTTATTTTAACTCCATATAAAGTATAAGGATATGTGGAACATTTGCCAAATTTTAAAAACGAAAATAGATAAATGTTTCACTGAATCATCTTTCGTTTTGGTGTCAGCTTGAAGCTGGGAATCCAGCAGTAGTATTATCAACATTTTCCTCATTAAGTAGTAAATTTTATAGATTTCTATAACTTTTTTTATTTCAGTTTTAACATTTTTTTTTTAAATTAAGTCCAAACAAAAACCAAAGCACCGACACTAATAGTAAACAATTATTACAATTAAGTGAAGCGGGATGTGACGAAGTTTCCGTTCTTACAACTGTTAAAACTTATTCGGTCAGAGAGTCGATCGTGAGCAATCGTAATGCTGACTGCATGTTTGATATAACTGCACAACACTTCATTAACTGAACATCTCGACTTTGCTGAATTTAACGTTGCGTAAATCTTTAATATTAATTCGTCATTACTGAATAATAAGAAAAAAAAATCTTAATCTTTTCACATCCCAATTTTATCAGAAATATTCCTTAATATTTGCATTCTCTCTGTTTCTTCCCACTATGAACCTGCATTCAGCAATTGGGTTCATAGCATTATAGACGCAACATCTTCTTTTATGAGTGCAATATTCATTAGTAGAAGCAACTACTGATATAACGTGTTCAGAAATATATATATGGAATGTTTTGCAAAAAGAATATATCTTAGTTTTTAATAATATCCTCCGGAAAATAAGAAATTCAAAATGATTAGAATAACTTATTTATATCTCTAATAAATCAATTTTGGTCAATGTATTTAATTGTAAAATAAAACTTTTACAAATTCAAAGAATTGCTATTTCTTTCATATTTCTGTTCATATTTTTGCATATTTTTGTAAAGAAGATTACTCTTAACGCTAGGGTGTTTAACTTTCAGAGGAAACGAAATGTCTGTACTATTTTATGAACAATATCAGCTCTTAAAATGAAATTTAAGAACTTAAAAAACATAGTAAAACATTCTTAAGTTAAAATCAATATAAAAGCATTCTCTTTTCTCATCATACTGTTAAAATATTAATTTTTCTCAGAGGGTTTCAATACTTTGAACGATGACGTTACAGCTGCCTAAAAAACAATATGAGAATATTTGAAGATGACGCAGTTTGTATCCAGATAGCTGTGATTGAGATGCAAATACTACCATATATATATTATTTGTGATTTATTGGTGAAAAGGTGGATTAATCAGGTTCTACTGATTTTATTATGGTTTGTGGGTTTTTTTTTCACTGGAAACAAGTAGCCGTATCCCTTTGAAAGCCAGAATTTCCTCTGATATTCTTGACAACATCCCAGAATGCAAATATAAGTAATAAAAAGCGATTATTCAGTGAACATGACATTATGAAAAGCAATAGCTCTGCTGGCATATTTTCCATGATGCGCGCTAGCGCATCATAGAATATGCGGCAGTTCAATTGCTATTCATAACGCCATGTTCGCTGAATAACGCTGTTTATTTCTTAATAAATTACACTAGAAAAATTAGTTTTAGCAATTTTAAAATACCAGTACATGCATGTGCTATTAACTCATTTACAAAGATAAAACAATTTAATCCTATTGTGATTACTGTGAAGACGTTATATACATGTATAGAATTACTTATCAATACGAAAGTGTTTTAAAACATCTAGCTGAGGCGCCGCCCCTGAATAAAATACATTCTAGATCACAATATAATTTGATAACTCTGAATAGTAATTGGCCTGAAAAGAGAAATTATTTAACTTAAATTTTTAAAAATCCTTTTCTTTGCATGTTTACATAAAGATCTTTACCAACTTCGGCGGAATATTTGCAACTATTGTGACGCAATATTAGATAGGTATTTGACGTCACTGATACATCAATGGAAACGTGGATTCAACCTGAATAATAAAGCACATTTTAAACTAAATATTATGTTTGGAGGTGAAAATTAATTCCGTTTTTGAAAATAAACCAATTATTTTTTGTTGAATAATATTCTTTCACAGGGGTTCTGATAGTAAGATGTTTTGCCGATTTCCCGATGTTACGGGAGATAACTCTTGCATCACAAAATTTCATAAAAATGACCGACTATTTTGCGAGAAAATTATTATTGAAAATATTTTCCCATTG